AGAGAGAAAACATGGCAAAGTGTAATGAAAAGGATTCCTTTCCAAGGACAAACAGGTCATTTGCTTCTCAGCAGACTGGATGTGTGTGCATGCTCTGTTTGAGGTGATAAGTATGTTTTTGTATTAATACCTCCCCACCTCAAAAGTACACTCGTACACACTCACTTTCATTGCTAGGAGATGCATAACATGAAAGAGCTTGTAACACATGCCATTAAGCATGCACATCACATCACTGAGCACACTAACATCACACTAACAGGCTAAAATACACTCTTTCACACACACGGTAAACACAGTTAGCGAGAATGTATTATCATTCATACAGTGTCGTTCATTGCCTCCAATGCTGGCATTAACATTCATTCTGCTAGACTTATGTGACAGTTAACCTTCTAGAGGCACACTCCGTGTGGAGTCCATCCATCTCCTTATTAGTTTCACTTGCCTTTAAATCAGACGTATTTCAACACATAGACAACCAAGGACGAGTAAACATTCACACATTCCTCACAGGGTACACCTTGGCACGATCCTCTTGTCTTAACATGTTTTTTTCCTCTCTTAGGCTCACCTCTAACTCCCAGAATACACTTCACTCTGATTTGCCCAGTGGCAATATTTAGATGATCCAGAATGTGTTACACATAGACTGTAAAAAAACATGGACGTAGTGTCCGTGACGTCGCCCGTAGGTTTCTAAAGAGCGTTTTTGAAGCTCAAAGTGGGCGGAGCGGGCCGTCGCCATTTTGGCAGTGCGTCACCGCGCATCACTCCCGGATAATCGAAAATGGGCAAAGAGGCGGGAGCTGGTTGCTGAAACCATGCCCACCTAGCTAGACGATGGTGACCGCAGCGGCAATCCACCTGTCACTCAAGTGGCAACTCCCTTAATTATGCAGAACTTTAAGGCTTAATATAATTTAAACGGATGAGCTATAAACAAATTCACCCCCCTCAAAGTTTTCACGAAGGGCAAAATTAGCTATATAGACCAAAATAATTTTTTTAACCAGGCTGTAAACATGTTTTTTTCTGCTGTAAATTTGGGCATTTTAACATGGGGAGTCTATGGGATTGACTTCCTTTTACAGCCAGCCTCTAGCGGCCAGTTGACGAATTACAGTTTAAGTCACTTCCGTGTTGGCTTCACGAGAGAGAGCGGGATGTTGTCGCTTGGTGTTACATCATATTAGTACTAATGAGAAAGTGCTCTTCTTGAGTGTCCTTTAAAAGAATTATTTCTAAAATTAGATACAATTTTTTTTTTTAATAAGAAATCAAGGATAATGTGATTTTTATGTAGTTTCATGCACAAGACATGACATCCATGCATGCAGGTTTGAATCTAACAAATCACAGAATAAAAATAAGGCTGTGATTGCATTCGATTTGTTGTATTGTCTTAAAGGTGTAGTGTGTATTTTTTGCACTACAAGTGGCACTGATATGAGCATCCCAACTGGGCTGGTGTTGTAAGAAATCGGATTCCCCCTCAAAATTGGTCTCTATCGACTATAGAGAACACTACTGACCACACTACATCTGTCCTTCTCAGTCATATTTTCAATTTGCATCAAATTAAATGTGGCGTCTACCATAATTGGTGGCCAAGATGAGTTTGTCATTGAGCACACTGTTCTGTAATCTTTCATTTTACTTAATGCATTGGTATAGCCCTTCATATTCATGGTTCAAAAGTGAATGAGGTATTGTCTCCTTTGCATAGAAAGTTCTGAATTCATGATTTTTTTATCTTCTCCTCAAAACGAAAGATAAGCTTTAGATGAGCCCATGGAAAGTGCTGAACTGTTCTCTCTTTGTTTCAGTGGCACTTGATCCCCTTCTAAACTTGCTGACTAAAAAAGAGCTTCTGAGGTATTTTCGCTCCTGGTCCCTTCTTCTCTCACGATAGTCTTGAAGAGCTATTATTAGATCCTACTCAAGGAAACTTGTCTGTTTCATTCAGAAACAAGAAGTTCATCTTTAGAGAACATTCTTTTGATGTTGCAAGTTTCATATCCAGTAACTAAGTGATTGACGACCGTTCAGATGAACCCCCAACACACACAGTTTCTTTCTATTTTTCCTTCTCTCTTCTAAAATCCTTTCGCTCAAGCTGGTTTTTGACAGCTATTCCCACTGCTTCCTGTCAGTGTCATCCCATCAATGTTTCCCGGTCAGGAAAACTGACGTTGGTTTCTCCTCATTCAGAAACTCAACCTGTCGTTTGGACTGCTAGTTTGATACTCCGTCTCTCCAAGGCCGCTTCAAGCGTGGATCAATCCCACAATCCCCTTTGCTCCATTTACTCTCAGAGTCCTCTGCTTCGTTTCACCTCAGCCAATCAGAAATAAACCAGTTTGTACACACACACACACACACACACACGTTTTATGTGCTCTGAAGCCTCAGTGGTTAGGAGACAAGGCTGGTCTCAGGTGTAGTCTTACCTCTGAAGATCTTTGTGGAGGAGAGAAAGAAGGCGAGTGGAAGAAACAAGGAAAGAAAAACAAAGGAGAGGGGGAGATAAATAAAGAGTTCAGGGTAATAGAGAATAGTAAATAATTTATGAGATACACACAGCAACAAACAGTTGATGATTATTGTTGATGGAGAGAGACGCTTCCTAGCATGTACATATTATATTTACATAAAATATATGTAATAAAAATATAATAAATAAAATATGTAAATAATATAATGTCTATGAATAATGTTCAGTAAAAAAAAAGTATGATACAAAAAATATTGGTTATTGAGCTCCAGTTGTAATAAATTTATACTAAATACAACTAGAAATCATCGTAGTTTATATAAATGAAGTCGTTTTAATCTGTATTCTAAAACCTTACCTAACCTACTATACTAAACCTTCATCACAGCCAGATGCACAGCAACCCAATTTTTAGGGGATATGCTGCACATCAACACTGGGGTGTGTATATAATGACAGAATTTTCATTTTTGTGTGATGTATTCCTTGGAGATCAGAAGATGAAGAGTGTTCTGTGCTCATCTCTCTCCAGCTGACATGAAGGGATGAGTAGTGGAACTGTTCCCAAATCAGATCTGCTTTGTAGCAAACACTAATTAACGTCAGTTCAGACCAACACAGGCTTCATCTTAGATGAGATCTCCCACTCTAATTACAGCTGGAAACATGTTGGATTTTCGAATGATATGATTGCTATCTCCCATCACTGTTTATTATGGATGCGTAACGTGTTGAATTGATGTGACACAAGTGGTATTGGCATCTTAAATGGCTTCATTCTTCACACATGCACGCAAGCACACACAACTTCCTCTATGATCTACCTTTCTGACTTTTTTTTCCCTTTGCAAGTTAACAGATGTTGAAATGTTTGGCAGAGATTTGCTAAGCTCTATTTTAGATTATTAGGAGATAATTAGCAATTTGAAAAATGCACTAATTATCTTGTCAGAGCGCTAACATTAACGACAGCTCAGTTAATGACATCTGTAGTGATCAGATCGCATAAACACTTGCTCAGTCAACACATGCTGAACAGCAAGCCTGTGTTCATTCTCATGTCTTAATGAGTAATTAATGTCTTTATGCATTATTTATGTCTCTTATTATATAGAACATGTTGAGGACATTTTTTTCTGACCCAGTCATTCAGATTTTCACTCACACTGCTAAAATGTCCATTTCCCCCACAAAAATAAAATTATTTTTTATCAAATTTTATTTGTCTAGTTTCATTTTTAGCAAAAGACTGCACTCTGCATTAATCAGAAATTAATTTTTAATGGTTTACTTAATAGGTTTATTTAATGATTTTTCTTGACAAAACAGAATTATTTACTACAAGTAATTTATTTGGTTAAAGGGTTAGTTCAAAAATGAAATTAGCCCATAAATTACTCACCCTCAAGTCATCAGTGACTTTCTTCTTTCAGACGAATCCAGTCGGAGTTGTATTAAAAATTGTCTTTGATCTTTCAAGCTGTTTAATGGAACTCAGCGGGTGTTGCAGTGCATCAGTCCAAAAGAAGTTAAATAAAAAGCGCCCATCCTTAATAAAAAGTGTCTCACACAGAACAAAGTCCTCCTGTAGCGAATCGATGCGTTTTTGAAAGAAAAATATCCATATTCAAAACGTAATAATCAATTTAATGTAGCCTGCGCTCACTGTTGTAAACGGAAGCAGTTCCGGGCGGATGACGTATGAGGCACATGTGTTGCTCAGAAGTGACGCACGCGTAAACGCAGGGTAGAGATCAAAACTGTAATTTATGGGCTAATTTTCATTTTTCGGTGAACTAACCCTTTAAGTCTTAAGTTTAATTTGCAATTGTCTCAATTGGAAATTAAGTTTCCACTTTTTCCACTGAATTAGTGAGATTATAGAAAATTTGCTGTATGACCTGTATTATTGCTATATTATTGCTGCCGTCTTCACACTTTGGAGACTCAACCTATGTTGTTGAGTTTCAAACATCTATTATTCTTTGATCCTCAAAACGGCTGTGTCCCGTATGTCTCTTTAAGGCTGCCTACAGAGTCTGTTGTCTCAGTATACTGTATGCTGTGTGAATGTCTTTGAATAGGACCAGAATGTGTGCTCTCATTAGTGCTGTCAAACGATTAATCGCATCCAAAATAATTTTTTTAATTTAATTTTGTTTATATATGTGTGTACGGTGTATATTTATTATGTATATACAGTATAAATACACACATACATGTATATAATTAAGTTAAATGTTTTGTTTATATATAAAATATTTATATATAATATAAATTATATATGCGATTAATTGCGATTAATCATTTGACAGCACTAGTCCTCACATTACCCCTGCAATTTAGGCAGTGATAACACTTGCTTTGTGGTTGCCATAAATATTCCCATTCGATCATCTTGTCTTGTTAACAAGATAAATGATTATGTGTGTATTGAAAAACGTAAGAGTGTGTGTACAAGAGAGACACTTGTGTCACTGGTTGGTGTGTGTTCCTGTTTCAGGTCTCATCTGAATCCCAGGCTGAAGGAGTCGCGCTCTCACGAGTCTTTGCTCAGTCCCAGCAGTGCAGTAGAAGCTCTGGACCTCAGCATGGAGGAGGAGGTCCTTATTAAACCAGTGCACAGCTCCATCCTCGGACAAGATTACTGCTTTGAGGTATAGACACCTCTTTCACTCGCTTTACATTATATACATCAATAAATTCACTGATCTGATCTCTCTCAACCCTCAGTACATGTTCATTTGAATTCAATATTACAGTATATCGTCATTCATAAGACAGTGGTTCTAACCAGGCAAGTTTCTGGCAAACAACAATTTGTCTGATTATATTGATTTCAATTTAAAACATTTTCTTAAGTGATTTCCATTTAATTAAGATCTTAATTGAACCGCCCCAATATCGATTTTTGTAAAATCCCAGGGTCAATTTTTATAATATTTTATAATTTTTTATAATTTGATCATTTGAATTTTAGTGGAGAATGATTTTTCCACAAAATAAAAAAGAAGAATTGTAAACAAAATGGGTGTTATACCTAAAATATATACAAATCAACTGGAATTTAATTAAAATCAGAATCAAATCAAATTAAGAGCCTGTAGATTAAACCTGAATTTAATCAAATTCAGAATCAAATCACTATCCTGTAAATTGAATTTAATCAAACCAGGAAATCTGTATCAAGTAGAATCTATTCAATTTAATTAAATTTTGATTCGATTCACAAGCTCTTTTTATATAGCTTCTTTTATTTATTTTCTGGATTTTTTTTTTTGATTCGGTCTCTCACAGTTGAGGTGTACCTACGATGAAAATTACAGATCTCTCCATTCTTTGTAAGTGGGAAAACTTGAAAAATCGGCAGTGTATCAAATACTTATTTGCCCCACTGTATATAGCATATGTGATTGTCTATATCCATTTTTCTGAACACATTTTTTTAAATGCTGTATTTGTACCTAAAAAAATCTCTGTCTGTAAATGTGATTCAGTTTTGCATTTTTTTTCTTGTTAGTAACAAATTTTCCAATGACATTAAAACATGGCACAGGTTTGCTTTTGTCATAAGCAAGCTGGTAGCCATGAGATTCTCGCAGTAAGCTGACAATTATCAACCTTTTTTCCAGGTGAGCACCTCCACAGGTAGTAAGTGCTTTTCTTGTCGTTCGGCCGCAGAGAGAGACAAATGGATGGAGAACCTGCGACGGGCCATCCACCCTAATAAGGTAAACTTACCTTCCTGCAGAAGTGCTTTTATACCTGCTTAGGCTAAAATCATACCTGATGCAGATGCTCTGATTTATTACTGGAGAAATGCAACTCAATGCAAAGAAAGAAGAGACAATAAATAATGTTTCTTTTTCTGTAAGAATGATGAAATTCAGGGCAGTTTTTTTTCCCTCTCTCTTTGATATAAGCACATGAGATACAGGAGAGAAACAGCAAAACATATGGCCGCTTTGAGTGCGCCAAGAAAAAAGATCTCATCCGACAGTGATTAAGCAAATTAATGATTAATTAAAAAAAAAAATAAATCAAGCACACCCTTCAAGTTATATTTGCCGCCTTCACAGCTTGCCTGGGGATGTGTTTAATGTCTCCTCGTCGCTCAGTCTTACATTTTAATTTCTCTGTGGGTTTCTGAGGTGAACACCAGAGCCAGGCTTTACAGAGCTTTGCCGTGAACAGATGATGCTTTCAGACAGATGTTGATGCTGTAGTAGTATGGAGATGATCATAGCTCAGGCATTAGCTTCTGCAGCAGAGGCCCATTTCTGTCTGCCTAATTAGTTCATTATCTGTGATGAGGGCGCACAATGGAGCACCTCAATTCCAAGATGCGAAATCAATTGCCTTAGTGGATGTCTATTTCTGTGGGAATATCCATGAGCACTAGAGCCCTACACAATGCCTACAGTAGTTCCTAGTACAGTCAACTGCTGTTATAGAGCAATTCATCAGTCAAGCCTTAAAGGCATAGTTCACTCATTTGAAAGAATCTTTATACAGGCTAGGGTTGCATGATTAATGAAAATAAAACCGATAATAATACTGATATGGCTTAGTGTGATTATAAAATCCCAGATTAATGTATGTGCTACGTGTTTCAGAGTGAACTTGTGATCCAATGTTTTCAGCGTTTCAGATCAACACAACAAGTGCTAGCCATTTCCCCAAAACTGTAATGAGAAACACTTCTAAACTGACTGTTGTTAAACAAAAGCGACGCTTTAAGCCAGAAATATTAGTATTGTAAATTTACAGTTGTACTGTAAAATTATTGTTGTTGTTTTTCTTAAATATTCAATGTTTTTATTTCAGTGGAATATGACTATAGTTTAATACTGTATATTTGTACATACAGAACACATTTTAATTCACTACTACTTCTATTAATAATACATTTATTATTATGATTATTAATACATACATTAATACACAGCAAACCTGAAGGTGTGTTTTTTTTTTTATCGCATTTGCAGTCGCAGTCATGCAGCCCTGATACAGCCTATTTCATACAACACTTCTTAGTGGCCTACATCACCGGCTTTAAATCTGCACCACTAACCAGCTGTAGACCTCTTAAAGCCTGCCAAATTTATACTTTCTAAATGACAGAAACCTAGAAAGAGGAACAAAAAATATATCCACACAGAAAATGATAAATGAGGTGTTTAGGAGAGGGCTAAATTGCCCAGATATGATCACTATTTATCAGTGTTTCCATCAGTGTTAACATTTCACCCCAGATACAGATGCTTCTGCATGGCATCACTAATTGTGGGCGGGGCACTGTGCACTGGCTTGCGTGTGGGGGACAAGAATTGCTGTATACCGCCGGTGAGCGAGGACTTTAGTCTGTTCAGCTCAGTGATTCACGACGGTCTGTGGCCTCAGAAATAACTGTGACATTTAGTTTTATTCTGATCTCATCCTTCATTGCCTCCTAAGTTATAAGAAGAAGGAGGGATATCTATAAATTAACCTTTATTATAGTTCAACAAAAGCTTAACCTTAACTACAGCATGATGCAGGTCAACTTTATGGCCGTCCCTCATATATTAAACCACATGACTTTACACTGGAAAGACTATTCTATTAAAAAAAAGGCCAGTGAATGACATTAAGTGCTGAATGACGTCACACAGTATTTACAGCACCGTTGTGCTATCTTTATGGGAAGGACATGAAGTGATCCAAAATAAAGGGCCTTTTAATTTCCAGCCAAGGGTGGGTGATCTGAAGCAGAGGGTATTTAATCACTGACCCTGTTAGATGCCACACTGATGTGGTAATAATCCACTACAGCCATGACATGTCCACTGACCTCACAATGCCCTTTCGTCTCTAGGACAACAGTCGGCGGGTGGAGAATACGCTTCAGCTGTGGATCATCGAAGCTAAGGACCTTCCGGCCAAGAAAAAGTACTTCTGTGAGCTCTGCCTGGACGACAGCCTCTATGCCCGCACCACCTGCAAGCTGAAGACGGATAACATCTTCTGGGGTGAACACTTTGAGTTCAATAACCTCCCTACAGTCCAGAACATCACCGTCCATGTCTATAGGGACTCAGACAAGAAGAAGAAAAAGGACAAGAACAACTACGTGGGGTTAGTGAGCATTCCAGTGGTGAATGTCACGAGCAGGCAGCTGGTTGAGAAATGGTACCCAGTTAGCCAACCCAATCCAGGTAAAGGGAAAACGGCGGGTCCCATGGTCCGCATCAAGACCCGGTACCAGAGCATGAACATCTTGCCCATGGAGCTCTACAAAGAGTTTGCCGAGTACACCACCAACAACTACATGCTGCTCTGCTCTGTGTTGGAGCCAGTCATCAGCGTCAAGAACAAAGAGGAGATGGCCTGCGCTCTGGTGCACATCTTACAGAGCACCGGGAAAGCCAAGGTATTGTGAAAGTCTAACAGATTTTGTCATTTAGCAAAAGGGTTTTCAAACTGTGCTCCAGGAAGGTGCTAGGTGGTCTACATAAAAGGAAATATTAAATAATAATATTAGAGAATATGGAAGAATATAATAATATTAACGAATATAACAGTAATAATAATAATATAAAATAAAAAAGTAAAAAAAATACTTTCATTCTGCCTCTAAAGACACAAGTTTTTGTAATTTTTTTCACAGTATAAACTGGATCTTTATACATTAAAATATATATTTTAGGAAGGAGGTCCATTTTGAAAACCCCTGCTTTAGCAGATACCTTTATTCAGAGAATTCAGAGACAGTGACAATACAGGTGTTAAATGCATTGCTAAAAGACACAATGGCATCAGTTGACCATAACAAGGTTCATATGCATAATGTTGTGGTTTAATTTCCAGATGTTTAACCAGTATGCTTCATCATCACAAGCTGAAAGACATATTTATCTACTGCACACATACAATCCATTATTCTAATAGATGGAGACTTTAATATTTGAGTACTGGCTTTTGCTACACCAAATGTGCATATATTCATCTGGAAAAGTGACTCAGTGTTTTATAGTGTTTTAGCTACATAAATAACATAGCTTATGTTATTCTTTATACAGCTTGACATTATTTTGTGATTCAGTGAAGCCAATGAACAAAACAATTTTTGTTAAATATATATATATATATATATATATATATATATATATAATTTTGTACATTATGAATTCACATTAATTATTCAAATAAATAATTTAAACTTAGCATATAAATTATAGATATAAAACATTATACATACATAAACTTTCATTTATAAATTATTTAGATTGTTATTCAAACAGATAATTAATCGAAACATGAATTTATAAAATATAAAATATTATATGTTTATAATTTATGAATATACAGTCACATAAATAATTCATTTAAATGTTTGTTTACTTTTTGCAACTATTGGAAAATGAATTTTTGCCTTTATTTCTGACCGTTGTGTGTTTTCCTTGTGCATTTTGTTTTTTATTGCTGCTCTTATTGAACTTCAGAGGTTACGGAGAATCAAAAGCAATCCAATTCCAGTTTGTTATCTCTGCTGTATCCCGTTGTTATTCCTTGCTGTTTGGGTTAAACAAAGGGATGCTACATTTAAGAGATTGTGTGTAGTTTTTATTGGCTACATCTGTGATTCTTTGTATTTATGTTTGTCGGATTTCACATGCTGAGAGGTAGTTCGGAAGGGATAATCTCCCCGGTTCTCACAGCCTACCGCAGGATCCAAAGAGCAAAATATACCATAAGGGAGGTATTAATATGGCTGCTCTTATCTGTATTGGCTTTTAAGTCTGTCTGGCCCTGATTGGCAGATCCAGGGTTGTTGTAGATGGTATGTTTGCAGTGACTCACAGGATGATATAAACACAAAGGCAAAATGACCTTAGATGGAGGTGGATAAGCCTCTAGTATATGAATGGCATTTAGTGAAGAGCGTGTTTAGACTGCAATAATGTCACCGTTCACTGTTTGAGGAAGAACAGGACAGACGAAAGGTTATTTTTTAGATATGTTGTTGAGCTGAATATTCTCATTATCGTAACCTGTGTGTGGAGTCTAAACTAAGCATGAAACGAGATTTTCAGACAGCGAATCTCCCACTATGTTTTAAATCAGTGTCCGGGCATAAGGCTAATTTCAGTGGCCAACTCTCAAGAAACTGAATTTTTGCTGCCTTAAAGTCCAGTATTTTTAATCCAACATCTTGCCCATCAAGTAGTTATTCTGGTGCCATTACCTCTAGTCATGGAGAATCAGTGAAATTAAGTGTGAAACAGTTTTTTTTTTTTTTTTTAAGGGGAAGGTCTTCTATTCATTTGTTCATTTGGGGTGTCAGTGCAAATCTTGAGTTAATTGTTACGTATATAGGGTATTCAGCTTCAGCAGAGGTCAGAGGTTTTTTTTGGCATCATTTCAGCAGTACATCAGCAGTCATCTTAGAAACATCAAATCTGTTGGTGAATTGCTTGAGAATTCAGAGGCACAAGGAGTATCCTTTATTAGTCCCTTTGCTTCCAGACTACAAAATCACTTGAGAATAAACACTTGTATCATTTAGAGCCAAATTATTTGTATTAATTAAAGGAATGAAAATACGTCAGTTTAGGTTGTTATAGGCAAAAGTGATGTCATGAATTTGTGCCTTACATTTTCCACATGGAATTTGAGGGTTCGTTGAAATAGACAAAGTCCACTAGGATATACACCGATTCCTTTAAAAAGTTTGTAGATTAACAACACTACACAGAGCCAGGAACAGTATGGGACAGGACCAGGAACAGTACAACTCCCATTAGTTCTTCCAGTGTTTATGAATTATAGTGTGTATATATCCTATTCTCTCTTTATTGTCTGACCATGGCTGGCTGGGCCACGTTTCTGGACACCTGCATTGTTGATGTATAGGTGTAGCTGTAGCCTAATTTTCAGTATTTGTAAAGTCAGACGTTCAAGGATATTTTAGAACAAACAATTTTGAAAATTAATAAATGTGCTCATTTTTGCAGGGAGTCCTGAAAGTTGAGGTATGTTAACATGCATTTAACTCTTTTATTTCTAATGATATGGGAAAACTTTATTTTTCATGATTAGACCTTTTTGAGAACCCTGATAATGTTTTTGGAGATGGAGAGGGAGCGAAATAACAGTGTTTCAGCTTACAGCTTGGCTTTCGATCAAAAGAGAAATGTGCTGAGAATGACACACAAGTAATGATGAAATTGGAGGAAAGGTATTCATCTTTGACATTTAATGATCGCTCCCTTTTGTTTTTCAGTAGGTCATGTTGAATTATTGTGTGTCTGACAGAGTTTAGTGGCCATTTCAAGTATGTAGGAGAGAAAAACTGGCTACATATAAATGGCTCACGTGGAACACATGGGATTAAATGGTACCCATGCACTCTGTAAGCCCACTTTGGACATTTCACATTTGCAATTAAATAAAGCTAATTATTAATTTGTTCCATCGTCTAGCACTAACGATGAGGGATAGTGATAGATTTAACCTTATATTCTCATGAAGAGCATCTTTCTTTTAAGAGCACAAGTCAGCAGCACTACTGTACATGCATTTGTGTATAAAATTAGTTCATTTCCTTAAAAAACCATTCGCTCTCTCACTTGACCCTCCTGCCGTCTGTCTGTTAAATAGCATCTGACCTTCTCTGACCTCTATTTTTTGGAGATGGAGAGGGAGCGAAATAACAGTGTTTCAGCTTACAGCTTGGCTTTAGATCAAAAGAGAAATGTGCTGAGAATGACACACAAGTAATGATGAAATTGGAGGAAAGGTATTCATCTTTGATATTTAATGATCGCTCCCTTTTGTTTTTCAGTAGGTCATGTTGAATTATTGTGTGTCTGACAGAGTTTAGTGGCCATTTCAAGTATGTAGGAGAGAAAAACTTGCTACATATAAATGGCTCACGTGGAACACATGGGATTAAATGGTACCCATGCACTCTGTAAGCCCACTTTGGACATTTCACATTTGCAATTAAATAAAGCTAATTATTAATTTGTTCCATCGTCTAGCACTAACGATGAGGGATAGTGATAGATTTAAGCTTATATTCTCATGAAGAGCATCTTTCTTTTAAGAGCACAAGTCAGCAGCACTACTGTACATGCATTTGTGTATAAAATTAGTTCATTTCCTTAAAAAAATCTTTATTAATGTTACTTTACGTTAATTAAATACATTTTCATAGATACACTTACGATTGTAAAATAAGGTAAAAGTTGTTAGAAGATGTGGACAGTCATAGGTTGGAATCCATGCGAAGCATGATGGCAGAGCCACTACTTTAAAATAAGGGTTACCACAATCAAATATTCAGTGTGTGAGTTGTTGATAATGGATGAATCTGTCCAAGCATATGGATCCATAAAGAAGAAAATAATGAGAATGAGTGCCTTCAGGTTTAGTGTTAAAATTTGACAGCAGGTGTCTGGTCAGGTTGCAGGGTCTCATTTATGTGCCAGGCTTGGTCTTTAATCCCAGTGCAGACCTCTGTTCTTGTCATCATTTCAACCACATAACCCAATGAATCCTAGGTTGAGAGAGAAAGAGATATTGAAAGTAGGGCCCTGTCAAGTCTACTTTATAAATGACATTTAGATGTCACAGGCTTCATTGTTAACTTTTAATTATTTATTTATTTTAATGGTTTAATTGTTATACTGTAATGTTCTAACTGAAATGTCCTTGTTGAATCATGCAGACACAGACCCATAATTCAATTTTACATTTATTCTTGGCATGGTACATGGATTTTAAATGGTCATTATATGTCTTCTTTTTTTTTAGCCAATTGCCTATGTTAACCAAAACAACACAGTAGTGTAGGGAAAAATAACTATTCAGTGTGTGAGTTGTTGATAATGGATGAATCTGTCCAAGCATATGGATCCATAAAGAAGAAAATAATGAGAATGAGTGCCTTCAGGTTTAGTGTTAAAATTTGACAGCAGGTGTCTGGTCAGGTTGCAGGGTCTCATTTATGTGCCAGGCTTGGTCTTTAATCCCAGTGAAGACCTCTGTTCTTGTCATCATTTCAACCACATAACCCAATGAATCCTAGGTTGAGAGAGAAAGAGATATTGAAAGTAGGGCCCTGTCAAGTCTACTTTATAAATGACATTTAGACGTCACAGGCTTCACTGTTAACTTTTAATTATTTATTTATTTTAATGGTTTAATTGTTATACTGTAATGTTTTAACTGAAGTGTCCTTGTTGAATCATGCAGACACAGACCCATAATTCAATTTTACATTTATTCTTGGCATGGTACATGGATTTTAAATGGTCATTATATGTCTTCTTTTTTTTTTAGCCAGCTGCCTATGTTAACCAAAACAACACAATAGTGTAGGGAAAAATAAGTTTTGTGTTTGCATGAATGACTCTTCTATATCTTCTATATATTAGTATATACTTCTGCTTGTGGTGAAGCTACTTGTGATGAGCTTTGATTCTTCCTGTGGCTTTCTCTTTTACCACCTGCATTATTATGGTGGTTGTCAGTATGTTAAAGGTACAAAACAGATTTTAATAGCAGTGTGCATTGTTGAATTTACTGGTTTACATTCAAATGTTCTTGTTTGTAAATTACAGTTTTATACGTTTTTTGGCCGTAAATGTGTTTACTGTTTTTCTGTATTTTTTACAAAATTATTCTGGCAACCACAGCTGCCAAATTGTTTTTGTAAAAACTACAGAATTAGTTTTACAGTGTAAGGCCCTTTGATGAGAAATGCTGTGCAAAGTTTGTTGACTTTTTTATGAACATGATAAAAGAATACATTCGTGCAAAACTGGACAGACAGCTAGCACACAACCACACATATGTACACAGACATATGTTAAAATAATGCACAAAAATGTGTACACAGTTACATGATAATCCAATATCCTTAAGGGATTTGTGGTATTACATTTCTGCCATTAAATCTCTCATTGACAAATACTAAAAAGCCATTTATATGAGCTCAGAGTGCACAAAACATACATGTTATATTACATATAATGGTAAATTGGTTTATTTTCAAGATGTGCATTATTTTTACCATTGAAGAACTCTTGTGTTGCAGCAGATGTTGATGTTGGGCAGAGCAGGAAACATTGTATCTGCTTTTCAGAGTGACATCCAGCATGCTGTTCTGCTGGTGCACCCCACCAAACTGATTAGTTTTGTATTTGTGGCCTTGAATGAGTATTCTGGCTTCTCCTCTGACCTTTTCAAACAATATGGGGTTTACCGTACAGAACTGCCACGCTGCATGTAGTGAGATAATAGTGTGTGACAGTACTGTGATGTCAGCTGTATTCAACTGCTGGAATGGAATCGCTACTTCAACCATTTCCAACAATCATACTTAACTTAGTTATCTGTGTTCCCATTGCTGAAGTTATTTTACATTGTAATAACATTTCCCAATATCCCTGTTTTTACTGTATAACTGATTAAATAAATGCAGCATTTGTGAGCATAAGAGACTTACTTCAAAACATTTAAAAAATCTTACTGAACTGTAGTGTTTGTTTTCTATTGGTCTGAAGTCTTGTAATAATGTGGCCACTGAGTGTCTCTTTAGTCTCTAACAGGAAGATGAAGAACCAGGAGTCCACTTCCATTCTGGATCAGTTGGACGTCCACATGGTTTATGCTACACTAGTTAGATTTTTCCCTGATGCTTTCATGCGCAAACAGAACAGAGGGGGGAAAATCGACCAGTACCTGCTCTGAGTCTCTGTGGAGAGGGATCTGGCTGTGCTGTTTGTTTGGGATCAACAAAAAGTTTATTGTATATTCCCAGGACAGGTTCTTTCATTAGTTCTGAATCAGAAAACTTCAGAACTTTCACTAGTTGCTTCATATTGGAAAGAGATTAGAATGGGGACGAGCTCTGGGGTGCTGATTTTCATTCTTGCTAATAATTGTGAGACGGTTCGTTTGAATGAAAGTTGATGCTGGTTCGTACGACAGGTTGCCTTGCTGACATTCAGGAATGCAAGCATTCTTGTGTGAAATATGGAATCATCTCAAGATTAATCAATAGATGACGCCATTCTTTATTGATTTCCTGAAAAATACTATTTATGTTGAAAGAACTAGACTTTGCACAGGATGAATTTCAAAACGCCAGTGTCTTTAATGTATTTTCTCTTTCTTCCACTGTAGGTGAGTTCATAAAGGCTCTGTATGAGTCTGATGAGAACTGTGAGGTGGACCCATCCAAATGTTCATCTAGCGATCTAGCTGAACATCAGAGCAACCTCAGGATGTGCTGTGAGCTAGCCTTCTGCAAGATCATTGAGTCTTACCGGTAACTACTATGTGCTGTTGTTGCCAGTGATGCATTTTGTTGCTCAGATGTGTTTTTGCTGCTTATTTTCTCAGTTATGTTTCAGTTAGGTATCAGCTTTATCTCAGGTGTTTCTCCTAAAATCAAACTAGAGAGACAATATATGAGTGTAGAGGTATAAAACGAAGCAGGGTAGATAAGCAATGATAATAATAGTAATGAATGGTATAAAAGGATAATAAATAATGTGTGAAACCTCTTACCAGTATTTATTAAAATTAACTGCACTTTTGTCAGGTTTTTTTTTTTGGTTTCCACTGAAATTAAATGTTGAACTCTCCACTCCTCAACAGTGTGTTTCCACGGGAACTTAAGGAGGTGTTTGCGTCGTGGAGACAGGAATGTGGTAACCGAGGGCGACCAGATATCAGCGAGCGTCTTATCAGCGCCTCATTATTTTTGCGTTTTCTGTGTCCGGCCATCATGTCGCCTTCTCTCTTCAACTTGACGCAGGAGTACCCAGACGACCGCACTGCACGCACACTCACTCTTATCGCCAAGGTTACGCAGAACCTCGCAAACTTCACCAAGTAAGCATTTCATTTACTCCAGTGTGAGTGTGTGTGACTGAGTAAGGAGAGAGTGCTTTCATGTTTCATGATGGAGCTGACGAATAAGCTTAGAAATGCCTTAGTTTGATAGCTTGTGATGTTGTTATGAGCACAAATACTATTCATAAGAATGAAATGAAGTTAATAGATATGATTATAGAGTCATTAGCATGGTTAATTGAGTTATTAAACGCATCAACGAGTCATTCTTATTCCTGCTTTCTGTCAGGTTTGGTAATAAGGAGGAGTACATGTCCTTCATGAATCAGTTCTTGGAGCAGGAGTGGACCAACATGCAGCGCTTCCTGCTGGAGATCTCCAACCCAGAGACCATCTCAAATACTGCAGGCTTCGAGGGCTATATTGACCTGGGCCGTGAGCTCTCCACCTTGCACTCCCTTCTAGCTGAGGTGGTGTCCCAAATGGACCAGGTTAGCCTCTTCACCCTGTAGTTGGCTCCAGTTGATCGTTTTTGTAGTGTAAAGAGTTTCAGCTGGAATGCATTGTGCTGTTTCACTTGAGACCTGCACAAACTGCAAAAAACCTTTTCTAATCAGTATTTTGGAAATATGGGGGGGGGGGGGGACGGACATATTTCTTACAAAAAAATTTTTTTTTAAATGTTCAATTAAATAATATTTTTCAAATTGAGTATTTTATACACTTGTATAAAGTATAATATTCATATTCATATTTAAGAAATGTCATGCATTTTTGTTCTCAAGTAAGCTTTTGCAGTGATCATTTATTCGCTGATGGTCAGACATTCAGATTTCGCCATGTCTTCAGTGTAGTGTTTGCTATTGAGTGGTATTGTCTAGTCAGGATAGCATTGTGACGAGGCAGTTCAGCACTTCGAGGCCTCAGAAGGTTCTAAAGTTGTGCTCCAGTTTTCAGCGTTCTTTGAGTAGGAGGACTGATGTGAGCAATTGCCTTCAGGCTGTAACAGTCAGACTTTAAAATCCTTAATTTTGTTGCTTTTAAGGTTCAGACCTTAGAAGATGTGTTCACCATGTGTTTGTTTCTTTATATCTTATTTTATACATATTTTTGGAGGAAATTATCTTCTAACCCTCCTCCTCCTCAAATGCTAAATATAGCCTAGCTTGTGTTTGCCCAGATTTTCCACACTAAGAGAAAACGTCCAGTCAAAATGCGTTTAAACAAAGTTGCATTTATCTTCAGCCTGTGCCTGTATGCCGGTACACCACAGACACTGCCTACAGCTATACAAACATTACTAATTAAATTTGTAAATCTTGAATATTCTAATAGCAGCACTTTGTTGAATTATTCAGATCACGTTAGGTGGACATTCTCTGAAAGCTCGTGCCCTCTCAATGTTTGAGTTCTGCATGGGAAGTCCATTAGTCCCTAAGGCTGCCACAGACTGATAGTGGTCAGACACAGTTGCCTTCTGGGATCCATGTGCATAAGAACTGTTAATTTTGTAGCCATACATCCATGAACATGTTGTAATTATAAAACATAATTCTTATAAAGCCAGACAGATTTAGCCAACCAGAATATCACAGAATCAGCCAATTATCAAATATTTAAATCAGTCAAATTTGAATTGATCTAGGTCTTGTCTGTTCCATTATTAAATGATTTTGGAAAAGATCAGTCTAAAAAAAAAACTGTGCAGAAAGAGTGTCTCTTGCCATGTTTTTTCGTTTTCGTCACATGAATACATGAAGCAAGTTCGTTTCCACCAATTTGAATTAGAGCTCCATAAAGTTGTTATTAAACATAAATTTACACAATACAATGTAGTTTAGATAAATTATAATTATCTTGGTGAGCATTATACACTACTGCAAAAAAGTTGGTAAGATTTTTAAATGTTTTTAAAGAAGCCTCTCGTGCTCACCAAGCTGCTTTTATTTGATCAAAAATACAATAATTTTGTGAATAATTTTTGCAATTTAAAATAAATTTCTATTTTAATATTTTTTTAAATGTCATTTATTCCTGTGATGGGACAGCTGAATTTCTAAGATCTTCACTGTCACTTTTTTTTAAAGTTCAAAAGAGTGGCATTTATTTGAAATAGAAATAGTAGGCCTTTGCTTTCTTATTTGATCAATTTTATACATGTTTTCATTAAATCTTACTGATTCCAAAGTTTTGAACAATAGTGCATATGTGAGGTGTACAAAAATACATGTCATTAAGTAAGTTTCATTTTACACAACTATTACTCAAAATTCACTCTTGAAAATACTTAAAACAGGACGGTTGCAGCTCAGGCTTTTATAAATCAGTCTGCAGATACAGCTGTCAGTTATGGCTAAAGATTGTTGGATTCATCTGCCTTGTGTGTATATCGGTCTATCACTAATGTACTGTAGCGCTTTAGGGGGTAATTAGGTATTGTTGAGTGATGGATACACCATTTACATTTAAAACATTGTCTGATGCTTTTTTTATCCAAAACAGCTTATAGTGCAGTGAAGTTATACTATACATTTGATGTTTTATGTTCTGTTGTCTTCTACATCCATTCTCAGGGGGGCTAAAAGAGAGTTCTGCACAGATATAAGAGATCTTTGGGCTGTGTGTTCATTTTCAATGGGATCTTTCATCTATGTCCTCAGAGTGCTACCTCCAAGCTTGGCCCGTTACCTAGAATACTGAGGGATGTACATGGAGCATTAACAAACCCATTGAATGTACAGATGAGCATTCCTCCTGATCGTGTTCCCTCCCCTCCAACCCCTGGATGCAGCATCTCCAGTGGATTACAAAAGATGGCCATCGACAGCGACCTACCAGGGTAAGCCATGAATCAGATCCACCGCATCAAACTGTTTAAACTGTAACCAATCAGAATCAAATATGTCCATAATTGTACATGGCTGTGCAAAAAAACATGGTGTATATTTCATGATGAATAGGTATTCTGACAATTCAGCTTCACGCTCAGTGTTACTTCAGGCAATGACGCAAAGCAGTGAAGTACAGCTATATTGCATACGTACTCATCGTTATCTGTCACTTTCAGCCACAAAGACTGTCCTCATTCCTGTTCTTAAGAGTGCGCCCTTACTTTATCCAGCAGACTGCTCTTCTAAAGAGAGCGGCTCATCTTTATCTGTCTAGCTAGCTGCTAATGCCCCACTGACATTTATGAGAACCAGAGAGAATGAGAGGCCTGTAATTGTAGTTCACACACACACACACACACACACACACATTCAGGGAAAGGGAAGATAAATATACTGGGGGATCAAAAGAGATGGAGGCTGCAAGGAGAAAGCATCGAGTGAACCTTGTTGGTTGGTGTCTGGACGGAGATTATCATTAAATAAATTAGCTTTTTTTTCCCACATATCCAGACAATAAACAGTCTGGGTGGAAGTAAAGACAGAAAAAGATGCATAATAACTTTGCATTCTCTCTGATGCTTTATATCTGTCTGGAACTGTCTAGCATGGCATTTATGCATGTTTGAGGAACACTTGTGGGATATGAAAGGTTTTGTTTCTTAAACACTACACTACTACATTATTAGGGTCTTGTGATTGATATGTTTATAGATAATAGATCTGTTCCACAACCTGAGCTGCCTAGGTAGGCAGCATTTTAAGACATCTGGTTTATTCCCAATGCTGTTCCAAAAGGTCAGCAGCAAAATTATGCTCATGGTGACTTCTAAGATACCATCTTGGACACCATCACATGCAGATACGGCAATCTTAGAATGCATTGCTGTAATTAAAGTATAAAATCCACAGACTATAAGCTCTCAGTTTTAAAAAAATACTATTTTACTCATTATTTGGGTCTGCTAGCTATTTCGTGCTTGTTAGATTATAAATGTGTTATCTTAGCAACATTCTAACCAGTGTTTGGTAACACATATCAACTAACTAGTCAGTTTGGTGGTTTATGGTTCATAAATGTCCTTCAACCAGTTCCATGTCTTAAAATTTTTTTAAATGACCAAAAATTATATTAATTAAATGCTGTTTTGTAAACGAATGTCACTGAGATTTTTTTTTATTAGCAACATACTAACATCAGCATTGTGAGTCAAGTCTCTCATGCTCTTCACAAAAGGAGTGATGGATGACACACTAAATTGCTGCTTATATAGGGTGTTTCAAATCAGTCCATTAGAAGGCTGTTTCAGCTAGGATGCTGTCTGTGTGTAGACAACAAGGAAGCACACTAGATTTGAACAGAGCTAATGTGTTGTCTTTCTTCTATTAGCTTCTTTTTACCCAACATTTGTGTATGCATGGTATTTCAGAGCTTAGAGTGTTGAGGTGTTAGCTTAGAAGGTTCCATTTCAGCTAGGATGCTGCTTTAATAGGGGAGCTGCCTATGTAGACATCAAGGCAACAGCAAGATTTGGAACAGAGCAATGTGTGTACTGTTCTCCTATACTGTGCATGTTTAATTATTTAAACTCTGCTTGGTCCTTGTCTCATCTCTTCGCTTTAGTAGCCCGATGGACTTCACTCGCCTTCCTTCCCCCACCCCTGAAAACAAAGACCTCTTCTTCGTCACACGCTCTTCTGGCCTCCAGGGCTCCCCTGCCCGCAGCTCTAGCTACTCCGAGACCAATGAACCCGAGCTGGGCCTGGCCAATGGTGGCAAGAGCCTGTCCATGGTAGACCTGCAGGAAGCGGCCAGGGCGTTAGAACCCGTCGCCATCCCGGCGGGGATCACTTCAGAAGGTTTGGGTGAGGGTGCCATGGTTCCCTGGAATGCACGGACTCCCCAAGGCAACGTTACCGGAGGCCCCACTCTTCACAGGCCAGGACAGACTCCCACTACCCCAGGAACAGAAGGGGCCCCAGGCAGGCCTACACAGCTCTTGGCCCCGCTATCCTTTCAGAATCCAGTGTACCAGATGGCAGCAGGGTTGCCCGTGTCAGCTAGAGGGAATGCGAGTGGGGATTCTGGGTCGGAGTGTCACAGCTCCGTCAGTTCCCATAGCAACAACGAGGAGGGTCTTGGAGGAACCAAACACACGTTCCTTACCCAGGGAGCTTTGGTGGGGGAGGAGTTTGCAAGGCGTTCAGGAGATTTCTCGAGACGACAGCTATCGCTAACTGACGCGCATCATGGAAACCAGCCTACGGTTCCACGACAGATCAGCGCTGGTCCTCAGCGGCGGATTGACCAGCCACCACCACCCACACAGACTGCACCCAGAGGACGAACTCCACCCAACCTATTGAACTCCAGCCCCTACCCACGGCCTCCTAATAACACTGTGATGTCATCATCAGCTGACTGGCCTGGAAGTGGCGCACGGCTTCGACAGCAGAGCTCCTCCTCTAAAGGGGACAGTCCGGAAATGAAGCATCGCGCACCACATAAACAGGTGCGTATATGTTTAGAGTTAAAAATAGATACTACACTAATGATTCCACATTTCTTTGTTTGGGAATGTTTAAAGTGACCATGAAATAAAAAGTGACCATTCTTATTTTTCAAAGGAGTATTGCCAGTGTTTATTGTAAAAAATGTATCTATGCACATTTTTATTTTTTTGAGATTTCATGTGCCAAATAGCAAACAATCCTATGAATTCCTGATGGAAAAAATAAATGCGGGTATACATTAAAACAGGGAAGAAAAGATGATCACAATTTCTGCTTCATGCAAATCTGTTTCAGGAAAATCTGTATCATTTATCATGTATCTTTATCTTAACCTAGTAATTTTAATATATCTTGCGGCAAGTCTGAGTTAGAGGGCTTCGCTTGCTACCAATCACCAACCCCCTGACATTGACTGTTGCTATTGGCAGTCATTTACTCAACGATTTGACAATGAAGTGGACAGGAAGGGCATTTCCCATATCCACAATGCATTATTCTCTCTCTTGGGATTTGATTGATTGCTTGAAGTTATTGCTGGAAGCGTTTCTATGGAAACCACATGTTGCGCACACTTTTATTACATCGCAGAGCACCTCCAGGCTCTTTCTCTGACTGTGAAAGTCACATCTGTGGACTTTCTGTGAATACTGTAGTTGATTTTAGAATCAGTTCCATTATACATTTGCTGAAAGATCTAGCTGAACTATTGTTTTTCTAACCTCGTTGGCAAATTGTCTGTGTTTTAAATGAAACGCAATGAAACGGCAGTAGCGTCAGATCTTTTCCTTCTGTATTGTGAAGTACATCAGAATGAAACCGAGTATTGAAAAAAAAAAGGTAGGGCAGGGACTTGGTTCTATCGATCGGTTGTTGACTGGATGGAGGCAGATCGGAATGCAAGCTTGAGGTTGAATTAAAAAGTATGAGGTGAAAATTTAAATATGCATGGATGAATTGTTCATAATAAGATCAATAACATGCATTTAGAAAATAGTACATTTTAATTTTTTTGTTGACTCCAAGTATAAATCTAACATAAATGATGCTTAAAACGCACAACAATTTGAAAACAAACCTAATGTAAGATGTTTTCTCTGAAAACAAATCTTTAATGCCTTGCATATTTTCACTTCTTAAGTAAATTTATAATAAAGGCTAAACCAGAATGAAGGCTGGTGAGGGGAGGAAGAAAAAATCTAGAATCTAGTTCACAACCAGTCCACAAATTGGCCTGAATGGGTGAAATTGGTGGAACTGAATGACACAAGTTCACCTTTTCATATAGTTCTTGAGCCAGATAAAAGTAAAATTACTTGGCTTGCGCCAGAACATGAATTTTACATTTAACAAACACAGAGAGGGCACTTTTGCCTTTCAGGGTCTACCACAAGCCTCTGATGCAGTGTCATTTTGCTTTCAGCTGATAGTGTATTAATGGCAATCTGAGAAGACCGAGAGCTTTTAGAAGACTTTTAGCCTTCTTCAAGGCAGAATTTACTCAGAGCTGCTTTCCTCCTAGACTGATGTTATGGGGCAGCTCATTATGGCCTCGAGCTCTAGATCAAAGACAGAATGGGAGGATGTATGAAGGCTGGACTGAGAGTGTGTTTGTTTTGTGTTGATGCAGGTTGATGTCTGTGGAGGAAGAGCTGAAGAAGGATCATGCTGATATGCAGGCAGTGATTGACTCCAAACAGAAGATCATTGATGCGCAGGTATGTCTATATAGTGTTGATGTCTTAGGTATGTCAGTTAAACGTTGATTTCCAAATTACTTTCTAAAATGTAATCTACTTTTTTTCTAAAAAAGTTCTTTTTATGTACTAATTTTAAATGTTAACATTTCAACACATCAAACGAATTTCACAAATCTTTGCCTGAAGGTTGTCATCACACCAAAATTTCAGTAGTTCAGTAAAATTTCTTAATTTGTTGAATGAACCATATTGATGAACCAAGGAATAATTAATAGCACTGTAATTTTCTTGTTAATATCATATCCTTCCTCTTTTCCCTGTCATTCCAGTCTCCTTTTACACTCTCTGTACATAAGATATATAAAAAAGATGTATGTTTATGCTGATGGCAAAGCTGAATTTTCAGCAGTCATTACTCCAGTCTTCAGTGTCACATGATTCCTTTTTATTGACCCCCAAACATTTGAGCGATGTATTTTTGGCATTTAAATTTCTGTCTCAATCTCACAACCTCCCCTGTTGTTCGATTGGAACCTCTAGGGAAACTATGCTGTAGATTTTCTAAAGAAACAAATGTTTTTATTACATTGTAAGTGTGGCTGGCATATATGCATCATTAATCATCATTATGTTAATATTCACTGTCCTACAGTGAGAGCTGTGGAAATCTTTACTTTGCAGATTAAAATGACACCAACCCAGCCTAACATCAGTATTCCTGGCTGATGTCTACTTTCTGAAATCTAAACAACACACCACACTTCCTAATACTACACACCGGTGTGAATTCAAGGAGAATTCATATACATTTAATTTATATATTTACATCCAAGAAAACCAAACGGCTTGTTTCTTCTCCTTTCATGTACTCTTTAGGAAAGAAATTAAACACTTGAGATTGAGTGTCGCCACAAATAACACCACAGCTGTGGTTTGGTCACAGACACAAGTCAGATCCTCACAGTCGTGATGTTATTTATGATTACCCTCCAACACAGTTTAATCGATGATGTACAGCAATTTTGCGAAGTAAAACAAATCATAAATTAAATAATAATTTAGTATCAATCCCATTTGCCAAAAAAAGTAGTCCAAACAAAAAAGTGACTCAATACACGTTTTCATTCTACGAAATGGTCCACATTCAGCTGTTATTGAACAACATAGGGTCAATGCTTCTCAGCTAATCAGAATTATTGCCATTGCTTAGCTGGAGATCAACCAAACTGAATATCTCATGCATACTCATGTTCAGCAGATATATGCATAATTATGCATTCTCTTTGAATAGCCTTGTGCAACCAGAAACATGAATGTGTCTGTTAATATGAGAACCTAAAAGCTGATGACATGACCAAAATTTCCCCTAGAAATCACTTGATCCGTCTCTGTCTGGGCTGGATTCACTGTTTGCCAGGGCGTATTTATTTTCTCCCATTCTCGACCTGTTAACATCCAAACAATTACTCATAAAAATTCTTAGCTGAAATTGCTGGTGTTGGTATTTTCATAGGTCTAATGGTTTGTTTAGATGCTGAAATTGTCTCTCTCTGCAGGAGAAACGGATAACATCTCTGGACGCGGCTAACGCGAGGCTAATGAGCGCCCTGTCACAGCTGAAGGAGCGCTACAGCATGCAGACGCGCAACGGCATCTCTCCCACCAACCCCACCAAACTGCAGATCACAGAGAACGGGGAGTTTCGCAACAGCTCCAACTGCTGAACGACAGATCCACAGAGAGACGCAGTGAAAGAGAGAGGACGTGAGCAAGTGTGCAGATATTCTATAAGTGAACACTGAGAGAAATACTGCAGGTGAGGATACTCAACACTGACTTTTGATGGTCCGCAGAGCGTTTGTTTGGAAATGTGGAGCGAGATCCACTTTAAACATCCACTGGTGAGACTACTGTTCAAGTACTTCATGTTAGGACACGCCACTAGACATTCATTTGTGTTTCACAACAACTAACTGTAAAAGATAAAAAAACAATAATACAGCTAACATGGTGACATTATACAGATACTAGGACCTTCTAGCCTGCAAAAAAAAGTCATTTCACTTAATTTAAAATAGGTGTTCTCCATACAGCCTTTGGAAGAAAAAAAAAAGAAACTAGATTTTGTCACATTCATTTATGATGGTCTCTACTTTATTATGAAACTACAGAATGAGCAACTCTTTGTGGAGAAATTAGCGTTCTCTTCCTGTTTCTGTTTCTCCCTACATAGTGCACTTTGTCTCTCCATCATGAGAAGCCTTAAAATGTTGTATCTGAAATATCCCCCAGTCCTTGTTTTTATTTGATTTTTATAGTTCAGATGAACATCTGTGATAGATTATAATCTGCGTAGATTTTAAAAAGTATATTTTTCATTCTCCTTCCACAAGTTTTCTGTTTATTTTCTTTGTGTTTTTTTCTGTTGTTTTAGTTTTTAGTTGTTGTTTTTTCGGACCGAAATGTTCTAGTCTGTAACATACACATTTTAAATGTCGTTTGGGGTCCGTTTTAGATATGCCAAGCTTTTGAATGAGCACAGAGTGAATGTTTTAAACACTAGACCGGATTGACATGATTTTAGTTGGAAGTTTTGAAAACTGCCTTGTGTAGCTCATGTTTTCTTCCTATATTGTTTGGGAGAGTTTTGCATTTATTTTATTTTTTTTGCTTGTTCTCTTCATGGGTTTTTCTTCAGACTCATTTTTTAAGCCTTCTTAAGTCACTTGTACAAGTGTGCTTATTTTTGTATATGTTGGTCCAAATTGCTGCACACTTTACATTTCAGCATTTAGAGTTTGTATATTTTTGTATTTAATAGCGTATGTGAAGACTCTTCTGCATTTATCATGTTCGGCACTGAGGTGCAGCGTGGTCTTTGAGGAATTGAGACACATGACATGTCTTTATTTTGATGCAAAGAGATACAGATACATTATAAGACTGCCTGTCATTGGACGTGTAAGATAGATTTGTTCTTTCTAAGGGGAAACCTCTCTGTATATGGGCTCTGTGATGGAGTATTATGTGAATAAGTGAATGCTATATATAAAGCAAGTTTCACAGGAACAGCCGAGTGAATTGTGGGATCAGATTGAGACGCAGTGATCTTAACAAGCACAAAGCACATCTCTCGCCCCAGCTTCTCAAAGGCTTTGAAGACTATGCACTTTTTCCCTTTGTCATGTCCACTTGGGTTTACTTCACTCTACAAACACGTAGCAAACTCAAGGTGCTCATTATTATTATTAAGCCAGGGAAGCTTTAATTTGTCATTCAGTTTCATTTGTAGCATTATCATTTGTGCCACTGTAGCCACACGCTATAAACCCTTCCACACAAACAAAGGTGCACATGCAGTGTAAATGTCATGAGATTAACAATTGGACTGTGTTACATATCTCAGCCAATCACATGCTCCTTTGATGCCCTGTTAAAGTAGTTTTGCGTGTACTAAATGCTTCAGCACTGTCTATATAAGGCAGATTAGTATCTAGAGTCATTTAAAATTCATTTGATCAACTTTTAAACTTGGCTTGGGGCTCGTGTGGTTGCACAAAAGGGAATCAATAATAATTTTTCACAAGTTTTCTCTTACAGACGTGGATGTCAGCTTCTCTGTTTGTTCATGTTCTGTTTGTAATGAGGTCTGAGAGGTTTTGCGGAGTCAATTACGTCTATTTTCATCCACATGAGAAGCTACTAGTGAGTCAAAAAAAATGAAATAGTAGTTTAGAGACATGAAATGAAAAAGACTTTTGCTGTCGTCTCGGTTCTTTTCATCAGATGTGTCTTTATCTGGCTTCATTTTCATTTCACTTTTACTGCAAGTAAAACTATTTGTGCATCGTTTAGTTTAGTTTTTTCTTTCTTCTCCAAGCAGTCAATGTGAAATAGTAGCTACATGTATGTGAAATAAATGATATAAAGATATACAAATCTATAAATGAGTACCTAAAATATGTTGTATGTTTTATAATCCTTGTAGAAAAGATTTTTTGTAAGTATGTTTAAAGTAAAGTATTGGCTGGACTCTTGCCTTGTTTTAGGACAATGACAAGAACAATAATGTACAGAGAAATTTGTCCATGTTAAGAACTATACAATTGTGGCTGTGCAATTTATGTACATTTGCAACTAGAATAATTAAAGTTTTATTTAGTTATTTCATATGCCTGCTTTGTTGTCTTCATTACTCAAACAGTTGACAAGAGTAATGTGAGAGGTCAAGATCAATGAAATGTGCTTGGATATGGTCAACCTACTGATGGTCCATTTCTGATCCCAAAATCCAACGTCTTATGGGCAGTATTACAAAAAAATGACACAAGTCAATCCTAGCCTACAAAAATTGTGCTGTTAAGAATATTACAGAATTTTTAATTATGCCCAACTGATCCCAGATATGTATATAAATATCCCTTTATGTATATAAATACAAAAAATAAGCAGCCCAACACTTTTCAGCATTGTTAAAAATAATATTTCTTGAGCACCAAATCAACGTATTAAAATGCTTTCTGAAGGACGCTGTAGACTGGAGTAATAATGACTGCTGAAAATGTAGCTTTGTCATCGGGAATAAAAATACCTTGCTAAGAATTGGAGACTTGTTTTCAAAATATAAAAAATATATATTTTGAATGATAGTGTATATGTGTGCATGCATTTGTAACTGAAAAAGTAAAAACATACAAAATAATATTTTAAATGCAATGTTTATTCAACATAAAAAGTACATCTCAGTCGAGCCTAATTTGTATGTAGATGCCTGCAGTTGCAATGTGATATTAAATGAGGGTTAAATGATCTGTGTAAATATGTGCTAATCTTGTGAGATGTCCACTTGCATTAAACCACAGCAAACCCCCTGCTTTCCCCTTCTGTCATAATTTCTACATGCAAGAGCAATTCAGTCAGTTCAAAGCTACAGAGAATGACTCAGTTAAGTGTAAAACAATAAATACATCTCTACGGGTATAAATAAAACAACTTAGTAAACTTTGAGTGCACTTGGTGCCATGTCCTGGTGTTAACACCATTTCCTAACAAAAGGCCACCGTGTTGTTCTGCCTTGTCAGTTCAAGGTGGCCAGTTGAGAAAATTAGCTGCTTTTCTGAAGTTATGACAACATTTCGTCCCTTTAAGAAACACTGAATCTCGTGACATTAATCCCTGCAGTGATTGATTAACACAAATACTACCCATATTACCTGAAAGTAAGCATACTGTATGAGCAACGCGACTAGTCACATGCTCGTGCACATGCTGTCCGCACATTTAGCACTGAAACAAGTGTCTTGAGTATCAGTGTACTGGCATCAGAACACACTAATGAACATCTTCAGTTACTTTTGCCTGTGTAGTTTGGTGAAAGAAATATCTTTATCTGAGCGGTCTATATACAATTCAACTTGAGCTATATTGCACAGAGGTAAGAGTGAATGATTTAAGGTCCTCTTCTATCCTGGCTTCTATATGTTATGAAATTCGGTTCATTATTCTACCTTCTTTGTTTATTTATTCAAAAGCTCTGGAAGTTCCTCAGAAGACATGGAAGTGTTTGTTTGCATGTGTGAGATTGTCAGTTCTCTGTGTTTGCTTTAGCAGAGAGTTGCAGCGGCCGGTGGCGTCGGCGTGTCAGTGCAGGGGAGCTGAACGTGGTTGGCGCTGATGTTTGAGAAGAGGCGGGGTTTGTGTTTGTGTGCGATCGGTGTGGCCGTGGCTTCTCACTGTGGCTCTGGCCCTCGAGGGCCCCCTCACACACCTCCAGCAGCAAGAGCACCTGCTCCCGCAGAGGTAAAGCCTTGAACCTGCGTGCTGCCAGGTAAAAGAAGGCCTCAATAAACGCCTGAAGGCACATTCCTGAAAGAGAGAGAGCTTTGTTTTACTTGATGCTCAAAAAAAAAACAATCACTTTCTTAAATGGGTCATATGATGTTGCTAAAAAGAACATTATTTTGTGTATTTGGTGTAATGAAATGTGTTTATGCGGTTTAAAGTTCAAAAAACATTATTTTCCAAATACTGTACATTATTGTTTCTGCTCTATGCCCCGCCTTTCTGAAACGCATAGATTTTTACAAAGCTCATCGTTCTGAAAAGCGAGGTGTGCTCTGATTGGCCAGCTATCCAGTGCGTTGTGATTGGCTGAAAAACCTCAAGCGTGTGACGGAAATTTTACGCCCCTTACCATACTGTGATGCCCTGTCCGGCCGGAGTGACGATTCAAAAACATGAAAACCCATTACAAACGAGGCATTTGTTACATCCAGTGGGGACATAATTACGGATTATAATGACTTATACTGTCTTTTTACGCATTCCATCGCGCCGCGTAAACATAAAACCATGTCTGCATGTGAGCGGAGGTCGGCGGCTAGAGTGAGCGGAGGCGGGCGGGCTTGAGAACGGTGTGGCCGGCGGATTTGACGACGAAGGAGCGCCCGGTGGGCTTGCGGCAACCACATGTGACAACCCCGGGCTGGACTCCGCTTCGTCCACGGTGTAAGCCGATCCGGCGATCCACAGCGCGAAGTTGATGTATTTCCTCAGCGACCAGCACAGATCAGCTCTAGGCATGACGAAGCGGATATCGTCCTCTTTTGGAAGAACAAACAAAGTAGTTTTGCTTTCACAACGAAACACAGCGTCTTCACGACATGGCAGCGGCGGCAACAACAATACTACAGTGAGAATAAAAGTTACGCCTTCTTTCTTTGCGTGAACATTTGGGAGGCGTTATGCAAATCTTCCCACATCGTGATGTAGACATGTGGGGGCGTGTTAGAACGAGCAGTTTTAGGTAGGCGTGGTTAACTCTGAACTTTTATAAAGAATATCTCTTTGGATTTGAGACTTTAGTCTCTGCAACTTTACAGATCTTCTTTATGCACCAAGAGCTTGTAACACTCCAAAGAGAAAGCAAAAATTTAAATCGCATCATATGACCCCTTTAAAGAAGACAACTGTGTTTGTTTACTGTCGAAGTTGATCATGCATTAGCTGGACTGGTCTGAAAAATATGGTTTTATTTTTTGAAATGGAAGTGTCGATAGATCTTTTCTTTCATGTTGTGACACAATCAAGTGTAATAGTTTAGTGAAAAAATGTAGAGCAGGAACTTATTCATCAGTTGCTGATTGGATTTTGAGATGTGGGTGTTGCGCTCAAAAATGAGATGAATGACAGCTTGCATAGAGAAGTCAGGCATACGTCAGCAGAGAGAAATCTCAGTTCACCAGATGATTGAGTTATGACATTCTTATTAAGATGTGTTAATTACGAGGTAAAAAAATTAAACGTGCATTGTAATAACAATAATATCAATAACATGTATAAAACTGATTCTGTAGGAGAAGTTAATTTTCAAGCCGAATTTACAGGGACTGTGATATCAGATTCTTCCTTTAATTCAAGTCTATGGGACTTTGTTGTCCATTTTATCTGCCAACTACAGCTGAAATTTACATGAAGTGAGTTATTTTAGCAATATTATGAGTATACAGTTCGAGCAATAGTAATTCCAAATAAACCAAGACAAAACATGCAGTTATCATTTCAATAGTATACTGAGAGATTTGAAGAAAACGCAGTCAGTGACATTAATTCTGAGCTTTAAGAGGCTACATTCAGAATTGTACATTTGGCAGATTTTCCCTTCTGCTTGTTTATTCATTAATAGGGCTTCATCTGTGTTATTTAGCGCAGTCATATCTCCACGCTGATGAAAACATAATTACAGTACATTTATGTTCCTGCTAAAAACGTCATCTGCAAGCTCAAATCATCAGTGGCAAATTTCTCAAGGTCACGTCTAAACCTGAGAGCCGAGGGAGAGAAATACAGACGGCTTCTTTCTAAAGAGAAAAACTTGAAGAGAGAGAGAGAGCAGTGAAATTCTCTACACATTTCAACAGGAAGGCACTTGATATTAAGGGTCCCTGGGACCCTCAGGGGGTTTGAGTCTGAAAGTGGATGCAGATCACTTGTCTGACTACATATACGGAGCGTTAATGAGCCCTCGCTGCGGCCAAGATGGAGCCGTGAAAAACATCTAGAGAGAAAAGCGAGGTGGCCTGCTGTGCTGGTCAGAAATATGTGTACATTGAGAACGGATGGCCACAATTAATAAGCAATGCTGTTCTCCAGAAGGAGGAAATGGGTTTCATTAAGCAGACTAATGAGGAGCGCTGAAAGAATTCAGCATTATCATGTCAAATGAAGCAGACTGAACTCTGGGATGGACAGGAGGGTAAAGATTCCGTCTTTAGGCATTCTGTCCGAGTGTCAAGTCGGCATTCCTCAAAAGTAAATGTATTACTATTAATGAAGAGCATGGCAGCGCTATCTCTCCTCTTCCTCCTCGGGGACAAACAGTTCGATTCCCTCCTTCTAAGCAGCCACTTCTATTATTTATAAACATCAACCTTATCCACCAGTTATTACTTTCCTCTCGCCACACAGTCTGCCTTCTGTGAGTATGTGTGTTGATACCCTGCTGCGAGGACCTAATGACCAAATTCAGTGCAACCTTCCGAAACGTTCCAGAATTCAGCTCACATCATTCCACTCTGGCCATTTAGGAGCACAGAGACTCAAGTATATATTCATTCTCTCGTTTGATTAGGAGAAGCATGGCCTGGCATGCATTATTCATTTCATACGTTCCTCCAAGAAAACGATGCTAGCATGACCCAACCTAATGCACCATCACAAAGAATATTACCAGTGCTCATTTAAAAGCAGAAATGACTTGTGGGCACGTTAGCTTTAACACACACACACACACACACACACACATATTCCCATTTACCAAAGTATCTTTTCAAAGTTAAAGAGAAAAAAAAATGTAAATAGGAAAGATTGAGGCAGAACTTGAAAATTTGGTTATGTGGCATTAATTGATTGGCCATCTATTTTTCCAATTTACAAGTACTGAGCAAATGAACGAAGAAGTGAATTTATTTGTCAATTATCTCCCCTGACGATCTCATTTATGACTGCATGCAAGGGGAAATGCGCTATGATGAATAGTTGCAAATGTGTCTTTTATCGGAGGCTGTTTAACAGCTTTTTGATTGTGTGTTGGCCTCGGGAGTGAAGATGTGCTGTAAATTGCATCATGATTGGTGGGCCGCTTGCCTGCCTCTCTGGAGTCGGGGAGCATTGCAGCCCAGCGACGGGTGATGTCGATGTACAGGATGTCCGCTGAAGCCATCGAGAAGCTGCTGTTACTCAGCTTGCAGTTCCTAAAGGAGACGCTCGATTAATGTGGTACGTGATACCTGATTGTTGCCTTATTCTGACACTATGGAGGCAGAATCACACTGATTCCATTTCATTTAGCCATAATGATATATGTAATGTGTTTTTGTTACATTTGCATGTATTCATTTTGCAGATATTGCTTTCAAGCTTTACATTTTACCAGCATGACCCTGGCTTTGCTAATGCCACGCTCTACCAGAGCGACAAGAACTAATGACTTGCCTGATGAAGGTGCGAAAGCTGGTCGGACCCAGTCTCATGGTTCCTTTGACACCAAGGAAGCGCAGGAAAAGGGCAGCGATGCGTTCCACGACCCGCAAGTACTGAAACTGCTTGGTGTATTTAGGGAAGACTTGCTTTAAACACAAAGATGAAATAGAATCCGCCATGCCTTCTTTCTCATCACTTCCTGTCTCCACAACAATAGCTTCTTCTGGTGAACCGCCCCCTGTATTTGACCTGTTGGCACAGAAAGGTTAATCTCAACACACACACATTTTATTATTATTTTTATAATGTGTGACCCTGGACCACAAAACCAGTCATAAGGGTAAATTTTTCACATAAATTGAGATTTATACATCTTTATACAAGAATAAATAAGCTTTCCATTGATGTATGGTTTGTTAGGATAGGACAATATTTGGCCGAGATACAACTATGTGAAAATCTGGAATCTGAGGGTGCAAAAAAAATCAAGATTTAGAGAAAATCGCCTTTAAAGTTGTCCAAATTAAGTTCTTAGCAATGCATATTACTAATCAAAAATTAAGTTGTAATATATGGAACATGGAACATGATCTTTACTTAATATCCTAATGATTTTTGGCATAAAAGAAAAATCGATAATTTTGACCCATACAATGTTTTTTTTTGGCTATTGCTACAAATATACCCCAGCGACTTAAGACTGGTTTTGTGCTCCAGGGTCACATATGTATTTATATAATATATTTTACTTGCCCTTGCCCTTGCCCTTTCTACAAGTAACAGAAAAATAGATAAACATTTGAAAGACTATGAATATTTAAAAAAAAAAAAAACTATTTGCAAAACAAAAGTCTGTTTTATGTTATAGTTTTAACTAATATTACATTTTACAACTTCATAAACACCTTTGGTAAATTATAGTATATGTATAAAGTAAACTTTAACCATTTTAATTATAAGTTACTCTCTTCCTCTCGTTCCCTTACAGAATATTGTATTGTATTATTATTATTGTATCTATTGTATAATTTGTCACATTTTAGACAGTAAATGAGGGGTAAAAAAGTCAAGGTCACTTAAAAAATGGCTAAATAAGAACAATAAACACTCAAATCATCTGTAAAGTTTGTGGATTGATTTTGTGATAACAGCATAATGCCTAAAAGAAAATCTGTCAAGTAGGAGAATGGAGGACTTCAAACCAATGGACTACAAAAATAAATAAAAAACCCGAAATCCTCAGTGAATAGCATCACAAACCAAAAGCCTTATAATTTGCTCTCATTAAATCCCTCTTTCTCTCTCACTTACCCAAGGACAACATAATGAAAAACAATTATTTAACGATCACAAAACCAACCGAGCGAACTGCAGTCCTCTAATACATGCACTGAGCCCAGATGGCCTGTCGATTATTACTGCAGTTCAGCAGTGGTGCAAGTAGCTCTGCACTTTCAGTCCAAGTAGATGTACTTCATGGCTTCTGAGCAGAAGGCTGCGGCTTGAGAATTACAGGGTAAAAGTACTAACGACGAGCACTAACGAGATATGACTTAACTAACACACTTCTCTCTCACATACAACCTTTAGCACGACTTGCACAAATGCATCAACTTTCGTGAGGTGACCATCTTCACAATCTAAAGGGGGCTTTTTTTGTTACACAAACTTAAAGCAACTATGTAATTTTTGTGAGTTTGTCATAAATATATCACTGTGCTGTACAAGTGTATTTATTGCTGCCATCGAATTTTTCCAGAGAATTTTGTAACCGCTCATCAAACTTGCATACTCCCAGAAAAGTTGTTTGGGGGGAACTGAGCTTAACTTGTACTGAACCTGGAATATTCCTTTAAGATATCACACCTGTCTCTGTGACTGCCGGAGGCTCTATAAACAGCCAAACAGTGTCGAGGGAGCATATTCATACATGACATAGAATAATATAAACATCACATTGCCTCAGGTTCATCTCGGCTTACAGAAGCCTCTGGAAACGTGCAAGATGAACTGGTCCAACAAGACACGTGATCGACAGCAATAGAGGAGCAGCACAAATATAACTGGAGAGGCCTGCGAGGAATAGGCTGTCATTATACAACACTAGTGAAGACGTTCTGGCTTCGTAAAGCCTTAGTGACTTTGTACTTGTCAGTATTAGCCGTGACAATTGTACTCGGGACAGAATAGCTTCAAAAAGCATCAAAGGGCTTGAATCAGAAAAGTTTGTGAGCGGTGTTGTTAATTCAGATGCAGTCGCTGAAGGTTTGTTATTTCAGGTTCACTGAAAGGAGGACACGAGATGAAAGAGATCGTGACTGAGTATGAAGAACTTTCTCTCCGAGTGGCCTTAATTTATTTTATTCATTCAATCTTTTGTGCCAATATGAGCTTATGTTTGCTCCTCCATAAGAGACGCTCCTACTGTACAGGGGCGATTCTTTATTTGGTTATGTAAATGTATTTCTGACACACTAACTTTCTCCTTAGGAACTGGCAGTCTGGAGAAAAAGTTTTGGTGATTTTTTTAATTTTTATGGTTTCTTACCCCTTGCAGAGTCTGTAAGATGTTTTGCTTTGAAAAAAAAATACATATTTTAAGACAAAAGTACACAAATTAACCTAATGAGATTTTACATTTATTATTATTACAGATATTTATAAAGTTAGTTACAAAATATTTATATTTCAAATAAATGTTCTTTAGAGCTTTGTATTCATCAAGGAATACTTTGAAAATGTATCTTGGTTTCCAACAAAATATTAGGCAGCACAACTGTTGATAATATCAAGAAATGTTTTCTGATCAGAATGATTTCTCAAGATTTAAAAAATGTTTTCCTAATCAAGAACTAAAAACAACAAACACACACACACACACACACACAAAGAAAACCTTGATTAAACTGTTTTTCATTTCTCAAACACCGCAAACCAGTCAACTGTGCTAGATCATTAAAAATGCACATCTAAAGGTTAAATTAGCAGATATTAAACAAAAATGTGCACAGAGAGTCTTTTCTGCTCTGAGTGCACATGCAAGTCTCAATTAAACTCTGAGATGGCTCCACACTTTCCTTAAAACCAATGGCTGCTTGACTTTTATTTCCCTCCAGGCCCAGACACTGAAGTGTGTCCGTGTACAATGAGCAGCAATAAAAGCTGAATGCATGAGACACACAAACTTGCTCATGGGGCATGAGAGTGTCCGCATTTCCATGATTGAGAGAGATAGAGGAAGAGTGGCCACACAAGTGTGAAATTCCATCACTGCACTTCCTGAATTTAATTACTCCGTCTGAAAAGCTTATAACTGCAGCTCAGCAGGCCATTATTTCAGCTCCACAAAGCTGAGGTGCGGATGACAACACACACTGGTAGGCATGCACACATGCACACAAACACATCATCAACTGTCCCATAAGCCTTTAAAGCCTATGACTCACGTTGCGTGTTGTTTCCTCTGAGCGGGGTCCATGAGCCGCAGCGTGTCTCTGATCACACCCACTTTCACCTCTTCATCTACTGGACTCGGTACATATTCAAACACACCAGGTGACACCTGCAACATATGGTGGCAATGATCAGCATCGTAACAGACTCATGCTTAGTCTGTAAATCCCTGTTAGTCTGTAAACACAAATGTAGTCATTATCAGCTTAGAGTCAGAAAGACCAAATGTTATCTTTTTGAGAGACGTTTCTTATGCTTACCAAGGCTGTATTTATTTGAGCACAAATACATTTAAAAAGTCAGTAATGATGTGAAATATTACTATAATCTAAATTAACTTTTACAATTTAAAAATATGTTTAGATTTTATATTTTAAAATATAATTTATTCCTGTGATGGCAAAACGGTATTGGTTACACTTTACTTGAAGGGTTGTGCATAATCATGGCATGACACCTACATAATCATGACATGACACATGTCATGAATATGAAGGGTTTTTATGCATGTTTATGACAACTGTCATTAAGTGTCATTAGCTCAGTTATGTAATTTTTAATGCAAAGATGACATTGTTTGAGATGTCTTTGTTATGGGCTATGGTTAGGGGTAAGGGGTAGGGTTAGGTCAAATAATGTCATATTTGCATTAAAAATGACATAACTGAGCGAATGACACTTAATGACAGTTGTCATAAACATGCATAAACCCTCCTTCATATTCATGACATGTGTCATGTCATGATTATGAAGGTGTCATGTCAGTCTTATGCACACCCCTTCAAGTAAAGTGTTACCACGGTATTTTCAGCAGCAATTACTCCATTCTTCAGTGTCCTATGATCCTTCAGAAATCATTCTAATAGGATGATTTGCTGCTAAAGAAACATTTCTTATCAATGTTGAAAACAGATGCTTAGACTTTTTGTGGAAACCGCGACTTTTTTCAGGATTCTTTGCTGAATCAAAGAATTCAAAAGAACTGCATTTATTTGAAATGCAAATATTTTGTAACACTATAAATGTCTTTGTGGCCACTTAATTAATTTAACGCAGCTTTACTGAAAAAAATATCTTACTGACCCCAAACCTTTGAAGAGTAGTGTATACTATGGTAGCATCATGTTTTTTGGACATGCACTGTGGCAATACCATGCATTTATTATTATTATTATTATTATTATTATTATATATTAAACACTTTTTGACATGTACAATGGTATTTTTGAAATAAGTAACCACCTAAATAATAATATCAGAATAGTATAGTATAGTATATATATATTTATGTCAGTCTATGGTCCTACAGGGGCGTTATTCTCTCAAAACGTGACACATTTTAGAGCCCTGTTTCCCAGCAGTTTCATTAAATCACTTGATCATTTGATTTCAATGGCTCAACAGTGCGCACACAGGCACACGGCATGGAAAGGCTGACCATGTGAAAGCAACTGTCAATACAGCTATGAAAACAGCCATATTACATCCAACCCATGAGTCAGCAGCACTTGAGTTGAGACTCCTTTATGACTTCACTGCTGAAAAACATTCCAGTGAACAATACTCGCCACACTGTATGATTGATAACCTTCCTCTAAAAGAAAGTACAGAATGCAATGAAGCTAGGGCTGCCATTCCTCATCAGTCTATGGTCCTACAGGGGCGTTATTCTCTCAAAACGTGACACTTTTAGAGCCATGTTTCCCAGCAGTTTCATTAAATCACTTGATCATTTGATTTCAATGGCTCAACAGTGCGCACACAGGCACACGGCTTGAAAAGGCTGACCATGTGAAAGCAACTGTCAATACAGCTATGAAAACAGCCATATTACATCCAACCCATGAGTCAGCAGCACTTGAGTTGAGACTCCTTTATGACTTCACTGCTGAAAAACATTCCACACAAGTGCACAAGTGCAAACATTCCAATACTCACCACACTGTATGATTGATAACCTTCCTCTAAAAGAAAGTACAGAATGCAATGAAGCCTAAACTAATGTTAATGTCACAAAGTTTAGTACTGTTTTTAAATTTTCAGATTTGTTTAAACTAGTTTCAGCAATGGTTTCAATAGCTGTAGTTTTTAATTTATGGATGTATTATGTTTTTAATATTTTTAGTAGGCAAGGCAAGGCAAGTTTATATAGAACATTTCGTACATAATGGTAATTCAAAGTGCTTTACATAAAATAAAGTAAAATAATCATGAAAAATAATCACAAAAATGAAACAAGGACATTAAAAACGGAAAATTATTTAAAAATTGATTTAAAATTAATTTAAGATAATTTAATAGAAAATGATTATACATAAAATACAGTGCAATCATTTCGGGTTGCATAAAATACAGTGCAATCAGTTCGGACATCGCACAGTGCTCATTCAATAAATACACAGCTAAACAGATGAGTTTTGAGTCTAGATTTAAAGGTGACTAATGTTTTAGCACATCTGATCTCTTCTGGAAGCTGATTCCAACTGCGGGAGGCAAAATAGCTAAAAGCTGATTCCCCTTGTTTTGTGTGAACCCTTGGTATTTCCAACTGACTCGATCCTAATGATCTGAGTGGTCTGTTAGGTTTATATTCAGTGAGCATATCTGCAATGTATTTAGGTCCTAGGCCATTGAGTGATTTATAAACGAGTAAAAGTACTTTAAAATCAATGTAATGTAAATGTAACTAGAAGCCAGTGTAAGGACCTGAGGACTGGTGTGATATGCTCAGATTTTCTGGTTCTAGTCAGAATCATGGCAGCAGCGTTCTGGATGAGCTGCAGCTGTCTAATGGTCTTCTTGGGAAGGCCGGTGAGGAGACCATTACAATAGTCCACCCTGCTGGTAATAAAGGCATGTCCAGGTATCCATTTGAGTTTAAGTATTTGTTCAGCTGATTAAAAACTACATTTTCAATAATCTTGCCTAAAAAAGGAAGATTTGATATTGGTCTATAATAGCTCAAAATTGTGTTATCAAGATTGCTCTTTTTCAGAAGGGGCTTAACAACTGCAGTTTTCAGGGAGTTTGGAAAAGTCCCAGAAAGAAGTGAGGCGTTCACCACTTCTAAGAGATCTGCTTCTAAACAGTTAAGCACCCTTTTGAAAAAATATGTGGGAAGTGTGTCAAGATAGCAGGTTGATGATTTTAGGTGCTGCACTATTTCTTCCAAAATTTTGCTATCAATTGCTTCAAAAATAGGCATAGTATCTTCTTTTTGATATTGCGGTCGAATCTCTCTGACCTCTGCATAACTTGAGGATGTGCTAAGCGCCTTCCTGAAATGAATGATCTTCTCATAAAAGAAGGAAGCAAACTCATTGCATTTGCTGTCAGAGAGCATTTCCCTGGGAATCTGACTTGGGGGGTTTGTCAGTCTCTCAACAGTAGCAAAAAGAGTGTAAGTGTTGTTTAAGTTACTGTTTATCAGGTTTGAGAAGAAACGCTGTCTAGCTGTGGCTAGTTCCACATTGAAAGCATGAAGGCTGTCTTTATAGATGCTATAGTGAATTTCAAGTTTCATCATCCGCTCAGCTTTTCTGCATTGTCTTTTCATACTATTTACTGCTGTTGATTTTCTCCAAGCTGATATTTGTCTGCCAGTCTTCTTGCTGACTTTCACAGGAGCAATATCATCAATAACATTCTTAATTTTGAGTTAAAAGAATCAAGGAGAAGATCAACAGTCTGCAGAAATGCTTGGTGTTAAAGATATAGCCTCCATAAATAGCACACTAGTGTTCTCCTTAATGCATCTCTTTCTGACAGAGACAGATCTAGAATCAGTGGTAGCAGAGATCAATATATCAAAGAAAATACAGAAGTGATCAGATAGTGCTACATCCTTAATAACAATGGATAACATGTTCAGACCCCTACTGATGATTAAATCTAGAGTATGTCCACGATTGTGTGTGGGTCCATGCACATGCTGAATCAGGTCAAAAGTGTTAGTAGTGCTGGGCAACGATTAATCGCATCCAAAATAAAAGTTTTTGTGTATATAATATATATGTTTTCGTCTTTATCTACTATAACAACTGTGTATTTAAAGGCACAATATGTAAGATTTTTTTATTAAAATATCCAAAAACCACTAGAACAGTTTTATATATTTAGCTGACTTGTGTACTTACATTATCCCAAAGGTTTAGAAGAATGTTTAAATCCAGAGGAATAAGCAATTTTAACTAGTGACAAGGACCGTGTCTATAGTGTCATTGTGTCGCTTGCCAATGACATCATACAACCTCAATTTCCGGTTTTGTTTTGTAGAAAACATGGAAACACGCCAAAGACGCTTTAATATGCTATGCATTTTATTACACAGGTGACGACCGCACAGAGTAGCATTATAACAGAACGTTTACATGTGTGGAGCATCTCAAACTCCATCTCTGCATGTTGTTGTGAGTTTGGGTTCATTATAACGTTCATCTGGGAACGCAACATGCGCCATTTCATCAGATTTGTAAGGTAAATCATTTATAAATCTACGCAAGAGACACACAGGAGAATACATCGAGGTTTCAAAATAAAAGCTCAAACCCTCACTCTGAGTTTACACGTTTTGATGTCCACATATTCTTTCAATTGCAGTAGCTATAGCAGTTCTGTCCAAAAGAAATGGCCAAATATTAAAGATTAAGTGGACATTTGAATGAAATGGTGCTTGGTCAATATTAAACAAGTATTAGATTGTGCAGCAATGTGTAAAAACAATCATCAGGCCATTGGCGCCCTCTGCAGGCCTTTGTTGTAATGTGTAATGTACATTAGCACTATTGTTTATAGTACATTATGTATTTTAACAGTTTTGTTCAATAAAACCATATGACTTCTTGCTTTTGATACTTTATTTGAACAAATTATTATTGTCTCATTGCTATTATACTGTATATGTATTTTAAGTCATTTTAAAGGCTATTGTTCACTTACATCTATTTTTATTACCACAAAAAAATGTATTATAATTATAGGGCTCTATGAAATCAGTTTTATTTCCAAATTCAGTTTTTTTTCTATTTAAATTTTTCTATACTGTTTTAATGGTTAAATTAAATTTTATTAATCAAAAAGCCTGTCTAATTAATTGAGTTTTACAGTTTTATCTTTACCAAATTCTATTTTCCATTATTTTCTGGGTTCCATTTTAATGGTTTCATTCAATTTTAATAATCAAAAGCATCTCCAATTAATTGATTTTATTAAAAAATTAATTCTGGTAAATAACATTTCAGGTAAATACTCCTTTAAAAAGTGTTTTTTTATTATAATTTTATTATTAGTAGACTAGAACATGTGGACATGTTGTCATTCTTACACTATAATACTGAACTTTGATTTCAGTGATTTGGACTATGAGATGGACACTTGCTTCTTGCACTTTATGTTGCACTTTACTTTTGCTTTAAAAAAAGGATTTCATAGAAATGTATATTTAATTTGGTTTAATAAAATATTAAGTAAAATTGTTGATTTTTTTGTGGGAAATTAATCGTTTAGATTCATCGATAAATTAGTTGATAGATTAATCGAAATAAAAATAGTCGTTAGTGGCAGCTCTACTGTGTCATAATAAAAGCTCCGCTGCTTTCGAGCCGTGTGTCGTGCTCGTTCAGCGGCCTCGTTTCGCTTCGACAGCTTTCAGCCTCACCCTGCTTTATACTACGACGTTAATAAATCTTTAATACATTAGCTCATCCATGAACATGATTTCTGCCCGAGTCCCATCGGATTGCATCGGCTGTGGGGATGAAGACGACAACTCCCATGATTGCACACCCAGTCACGGCGTCATCTAACTACACCTTTGTTTCTTTGTTTGTTTTGAATAAAAAATTACATATTGTGCCTTTAACATCCCAATCTCCATCCTTAATGCTTTAAAGAATGTGTTTAATGTTGGTAATCTCCTGCTTGCCAGGTTAACTGACCAAAGCTATTATTTAGATATTAATTGTTGAATAGGCTTGCTATGGTATACTTTTCATACACGAGATGCAGTTGGCATGGTAAGAAACAACATAATACCTGCTTGTAATCGCAAATGAAAAAATCTCACATCTGAGGCCATCACTAAACACTGAAAATAAGATTAGGACAATCAACAACAGTGCATTTTATAAATTTTACGCATGTTGTATCAGATCATGCCATTGAGGGTTGAATCATTATCCTTTAGAAGACGAATATTAAAAAAAGAGGACAAAAGTGCCCCACTACGAATGTGCCTGTACATTTTTATTTCCTTCATTTATTTTCCTTTATAGGTCTACTTTTTTTATTATTTCAGCCAGTTCAGTTTATATTTCTAATTTTAAAATGTAGTTAAAATAAAAATTTGAATAAAGTTACCCTGTGTTATTGTCTAGTAATAACGGATTTACCAGTTTGAATGCAAATATTGTACCAGTTAAATCATTTAATGATCTTTAATGGTTGATCCCACTGTCATTTCAATATTTTTTTTTTTAAAGATTGTTAAAGGCGGTGTCCTATTAAACTTATGAAAGATGATGTTTCTACTATGACAAGATCTCTAAAGACTGACTTTTTTATGACGTTTACCTGGGAATTTGTTGACTTGCCCAGAGAAGATGTTCTCATTGTCATGAAAAGAGACACCATGCCAGTAGATATCACAGGCTGTCCGCCTACCCATCGGAAACTGCAGGATCAAAAGATAGAGATCTGAGGCAAAGTAAAGGAGTAAAACTATCAATCATAACACAATAAACATGTCATACTTTTGACAGGGATGCAAAACCCAACATGTTTATGACCAACTGTACCAGAAAAATAACAGCTCGCCTCTGAATAGGGTTGCAACGATATACCGGTATGACGGTTTGAACGTGCAGTTATCATACCGTAAACATTTGCATATCTACGGTTTAAAAAAAGTGAATGAAAAAAAGTCTCACCCGCGCACATGCAACTTATTTCCGCTCGGCTGCTTACACGCACGTACAGTGGAGAAAATGACAGAGACAGAGATGATATCTATTCTCCAAAAAAAGTTAATATCTGCAGTATGGGAATACTTCGGATATTTAAAAAAAACCGAATGCGGGGTTGTCCTTGAGGACGGATCCAATTCGCAAAAAATGTGGACGCAAAGTGGCTGCAAAAGCAGGCAATACATCCAACATCTTCGCTCATATTCGCGGACACCATCCCTCCGTGCAGATGAAGGTGTGTCACATTAATAACAAGTTATAAGTTAACCCTCTACCACACGCATTATGATAGACCTATAGAAAAAAATATTTGACTCTTTTTCTTTTCTAAGAATGTCTTAACTTGAAGTGCTGTAAAAAAATATATATTTTTATGATATGTTGCCATACGGCAACAGCATACAATAGTGGATCTAACTTAGAATAAGTGTAAGTTTACTTATAGTTCATATTTTTCCTCAGAAATGTTGTTTGTGTTGATTCAATTGGTGCTATTATAAGCTTTAACACAGCACTTATAATTTACACCGTCATAGTTTTACATACTTTCCAACAACTTGTGCTTTTATTTATTCTTTAAGGTACTTTATGATATGTTGCCATACGGCAACAGCATACAATAGTGGATCTAACTTAGAATAAGTGTAAGTTTACTTATAGTTCATATTTTTCCTCAGAAATGTTGTTTGTGTTGATTCAATTGGTGCTATTATAAGCTTTAACACAGCACTTATAATTTACACCGTCATAGTTTTACATACTTTCCAACAACTTGTGCTTTTATTTATTCCATTCTTTTTTGTTGTGCTAGCTAGCTAACTATTGTAAATGTCATTCCACTATTGCACAGTGTTGCCGCTTGGCAACACATACATTTGAATGATTTACCAAAAACGAATTTCATAAAAAACGTTTTTGAGAATTGAATATGTCATCATAACAGTGATGTGTCTGATTTTTTTGTGGAAGTGACATGGACTGGTCCTTGTTTGTTACTGATGTTTTAGTTTGTTTTCAGCAACTACTGACAAGAGAAGTCTGTCAGAAATCTCACCACATAAAAAAAACTGCATGTCATGTGACTTAACCAAAGCACATCATTGGCTAAACTAAGGTCTTTTCTTTCCAACAAAAGAACCGAGAATGTTCTCTTAAAGGGGTCATCGGATGCAAAATTCACTTTTCAAGTTGTTTGAACATAAATGTATGTTGGAAGTGTGTGTACACATCCATCCTATAATTATACAAATCCATCCAGTGTTTTTTTTTTAAATCCCTATTTTAAAATCCCCTTTCTCAAACCAGGCTGTTCTGAGATTCCTGTCAGAATGATGTAGTTCTGTACAGGCCCCTCCCACGATAGTTGATTGAAAGTAATGTTTCAGCAAAGACTGGACTGGTGTCTTACCTTAGACCCGCCCTGAATGAGCTGTCATCAGTCCGCCATTGTGTCAACTCTGGTGCAGGGGAAGACAAGATGTCTCCGATTAAGCGATTGAGGTGCTTTATTATTGGATGTAATAATGAATATAGCAATTGTCATTTACTCCTGACATCTGAGCGGCTGAAGATGCAGAGGATTAACCTTACTTTCGCTTTGAAGTGAATGCGCCACTCCCGATCAGCCTAAATGCATCTATGTTCGCTCGAATCATTCGTGATCCAGCCTCATCTACAGAAGAAGTGAGTATCAGGGTTTTTTTATGAATCTTTGCAAATCACCTTTCTTAATAATGTGCTCATTAGCAAGTTTCACGATGAATGTGGCTAAAGTAAACAGTCTCTCTGAGAGCAGCTCGAAGAGAGGGGCAGGGCCAGCAGAGCTCATTAACATTTAAAGCAACATGGACTATAATGGTTTGAGAAAAACAGAGCTGATTTTCACAGGTTTAAAAAGGTGTTTTTTACACTAACATTGATTAATTTTAACCAAAGTATGTTATAGACTTTTAATTAAGACCCTAAAGAATCATATCAACTTGAGATCAATTGAGCGTCCGATGACCCCTTTAAAGAGACAGTGGCAAGGATATGAACACAAAGAGTATGTTGCCATATGGCCACACCATGCGGTAGAGGGTTAAGGCCGTATGATTTCCATGAAGCAGAGGGAATCCCGGTGCAGTCGTGAACATGGAATTTACAGTATAAGAGGATGTCACATAAAACGCGCAATCGGATGGATGAATAAGTCAAAAGTAGTTATGATATGTGTCTGTGAATATTAAAGTACAAACAGACTGCTATATAAATAATCTGCTTGTTTCTGCATGTCTCTGAGTTGCGCCTTTTATCTACATACTGAAGTACGCATACATAAATGGTGTTTTCAGCGTCTACATAAACATGAACATCACCAGAGCTGCTCTGAGAGAAAACGTAAATAAACATTTCCTAGTTTTATTTCAGAAAAACCATTGTCAACTACACTCTGAAACTCAAAGGTCCGCTACAACCCGTCAAAATAAAAGTTCTATTTAATTTGAAATTATGACAGAAATATATTAGCAATGTACAATGTACTTCAAAGTTAAAATAACAACAATAATATATTATATTAAAAAAAATTATTTAAACATTGTTTTCAAAGAATATCATGTTTGTCCATGTTTTAATTTTGCCAAAAATAAAAGGAGTTGTACATTTTCATTTGATAACATTTTAAAACATTAATTAAAATGTTAAAGTGTGATATAGATATACATAAGGTGTACAGGTTTTTTTTTTTCTCAGAAGGGAGACTTCAATACTTTTATTAAAATGGTTTCAAGTTTGTTGTCATAAAGGATTTATTCACGCAAATAACTTGTTCTTGCTCTTTTAAGAGTCATTGTTACTGATAAGAATTATTGTTTAATATATACCGTGGTAACGTGTGAAACCGTGATATTTTCGGAGATGATTATCATATCGTGAAAATCTCATACCGTTACAACCCTACCTCTGAAGGACTGTTTTTTTTCCAATAATTATTTTAGGAAACAATTTCTACTCCTTCCTATAGTATGCACATCATGGCTGAGGGCTATATTCTCAATGAATAGTTATACTTCCACAACAGTAGTGTCAGTTACAGAGGCAGGGTTAAGATACGTTATTACCATCATTAATTTACAGGTGAAAATGCATTTGAGCTTGTGTGTACAGACCAGTGTTTCAGGCTTTGGTCCATTATACTGTGCTTCATATACATTTCTGAGACCCTGTATATGATGACTAGGCTACAGTGTAGGCTGAGCGTGAAGTAGGTTATCAAGTATCAATCAAGGTTATCAATCAGGATGCAGGTGGTGTGCTTAGTATAGGCTAGGTTACGTGTCTTGGGCTGGATTTTGGGAGGATTATGTCCCTGTTTAACAGGTTAATGGAATGTAAGGAGGTGCTTCTATATTGGTCATTTAAGTTGGCACACAGAGGAAAGCAGAAATCTGTGATCAGATTAGGAGTTCACGCAGACTTACAGGTATAGCTACAGTTGTGAGGGCCAATTTTTCGAAAAATGTCCTCACAAATATAATGAAACCTGACAACGACAGATGTTTAAATTGCCCTTGCTATTTCAGAGGCTCAGGATTCAGTCAAAAGTAGCAAATATAAAACATATATACCATCATTCATAAAGTGAAACCAAAGTGTGCATTTGTTAAAAAATCAGACATTAATACAGGCACCAGAACAATTAACAAGTGACCTTTACTTGCTGCAGTTGCTTTAATCTGAAGTACAGCAATTTTGTGCAGCACTAATTCTCATGTGCATGACTTCGATAGATCGTTAGATATATTGGTTTCCATTTCTTTTTTCCTCTTAAAACACAATGATCTATTTATATGCATTCTTCTTGCATTACGTTTTAATTAAAAAAAAAGATAGAAACAGTGTAAAACTAAACTGGGCAGTTCAATTATATCTGCCTTCTTTGGATAAATATTGATATACATCTGTCAGATTTAGTGACCAGCAATTATTGCTAGTGTACTGACAGCACTAATGGCTTTGTGTAAACTTTTTAATGCCCTAAAGCAGTGATGGGCAAACTTGGCCCTTCCAGGCCACTTTCCTGCAGAGATTTGATCCAACCCTGATATGACTCACCTGCCTGTGGCCTTCTAGTAGTCTTGAAGACAATGATTAGCTGGTTCAGGTGTGTTTGATTAGGGTTGGAGCTAACCTATGAAGGAAAGTGACCTGGAAGGGCCAAGTTTGCCCACCCCTGCCCTAAAGGGTTCACCCAAAAATAAAAATTATATGATTATTTACTCATCCGCATGCTATTCCAAACCTGTAAGACTTGCTTTATTCTGTGGATAACAAAATAAGATATTTTGAAGAGAGTTGGTAACCAAAAAATGTTTGAAACCAAAAACCATTGACTTCCAATGTATAGACAGAAAAAATACACACACAGAGACATTTCTCAAAATATCTTCTTTTATAATCCGCAGAAGTAAGAAAATCATACAGGTTTAGAATGGCATGAAGATGAGTAAATAATTATAGAATTTTAATTTTTGTGTGAAATGGGAAGAATTGTTTAAAATAATAACACAAAGTGGTTTATACAATTTGAGTCAAAATATTAACACCTTAGCTCTGTTTGATGCAACATAATATATTGCTCTAACCTTAAGCCTGTAGGGTTAGCAAATATCTCTTAAAGATGAACAACATTTCATTGCTCTGTCAGAGTTGCTGTGGAGAAGGTCAG